CCCCCCCCCCCCCCCCCCGACCTCTTTGCTCTTGATCTCTCTTGGTCTGTAGCTCTCTGCTGTCTTCCCTTCCACATTGGTCCCTTTAGGACTCTACAGATATCTTTATCTTAAGAGTCTTTCCTTGCTCCTTTCTCTTCTGCCTTTGTGTGGATGTCTGTCTTTGGCTCTGTTTCTAAGTGTTTGTCTCAGTACCTCTGTTAACATCCTCTCGTGTGTGTGTGTGTGTGTGTGTGTGTGTGTGTGTGTGTGTGTGTAACTCTTCAGACTGTCTTACCTCATCTATGATGGAGTCTGAAGGTTGGGAGGGAGCAGGATCAAAATAGAAATTCATTTTAAAACACCACCAGAAACGTGAGGCTGTGAGTTGATGCTGCAGTAAGAGGCTAGTCTGTGCTCATCTGTCTGTGGCCAGGCCCTTTCTGGGTCTTTCTCTGCATTGCTATACTATGTTGGTTCTGTTCCTGGACATAGATGAGGACATGTACATAGACCCAGACATAAGGACGGGACTGAGATTTTTTTCCCTCTCAGTTCAGAGCAGGCTCCCCTAAGCTTAGCTGGCAGTTCAGGCACGCAGGACCTCAGAGACATACTTGAGTTGTTTTGTGCCATTTGCTAGGCCACACGTTCTAGTTATTGGCACCTTCTTGACACTACAAGACTTGCCAATACCTGTGTCTCCTCTTTAACTAGGAATACTAGGACACTTCTACCCTTCCTGCTCAAAACTTTCCCGGCATTCTCTTCCACTGCCCCCCTTCCCCTCATCGTCTGCATCAGAACCTTCTAGACTGAGTGTTATCCTTCCCAGCTCTATGCCACATTCCATTTTTCAGGGTTCCTCCTGACACAGGAGAGAGCACACTATTCCTTCCACATCTTACCTGTTTGAGTTTCACTTATTTGGGGCAGGGTGGAGGGAGAGAGCAGTGCTTCGCCTTCTCCTGAACAAGTTTCACAATGTTGGACTTGGGTATTTGCTCCTGATAATCCAGCCATCAACAGACTTATTTGGAACACCCCTGTGTGCCTGGCAGTCAGGCACCTGTACCAAGTGATGTGGCCTAGGGCTGTGAGTGACACAGTCCAGACTCAGAAAGTTGCCTCAGGCTGCGCTGAGATAGGTGACGTAGGCAGCATGGTCAATAGATAGGCTCTGAGGCAGTGCAAGAGAGTCGTGGAAGACATCCCAAAAGAGGTGACTATTTGAATCCCAAAGATGTGGGTGTTTTGCAGAGACCTGTATGAAGATCTGAAGGGTGACCTATACCCAGCTTTATAGAGTTTAGAGACTAGAACTCAGTTAGATTAGACTGAGTTTTTCCTAATCCTGGGTTGACTTAAGTACCACCCATGGCTTCTGGTCTCTCACATATGCTGTCTTGGCTGCAGGGCTGTTTAGGAACATGGAATACTGCTTGTGACTTTGGTACAGAAAGTGGTCTTTCCATGAAATCAAATTCGGAGAGCCCCTCATTTCCTTTATCATTGGGCCTGCCTATCATTGCTTCCATTCTGTTTTTATGCCAAATTGGTTCAACTAGGGCTAAATCAAAATTTATTTTACTTCAAAATTCACAGAAAAGCAGATACCACCCTTCTGTCACTCATTCTTAGGTTCCTAAAAGTGTCCCCAATGTGAACCTCTAGTTGTCTAACTGCTCAGGGGTCAGTACTGGCCATAGCTATTTAGCAGGTACATGCAAAGGACTTTGGTAGGCGTAGCATCCACCTCACCACACTTGGCTTCACAGCAGTCCAGGAGGCAGACATATCATTCCCAAGTAAGAAAATGCAGTTTGGAGGGTAACTTGAAGAGTTGCAGAGGGACCATGGAAATTTTAGTCATCCCCTGAGCCAATTCTCCTAGTATTTGAGCAGAAAGGCTCTTTGGCAGTCTATTCCAGACTTGTCATCTTACAGTGAGCTCACTCCAGGAAGACCCTTGTCTCCTGACTTCAGGTGTGTCCCACTGCCATCCCACTGCAGGGTCATTCAGCTCCTCATTGCAACTAAACATGCAACCAGCTGCCCACTGTCTTCTGGGGATGCCAAAAAGAGGCTAGCCCTCGGGCTTCATGTAGAAAAGCTATGACTATCAATCCAGACTCTGATGCAAGCTCACAGGCCACCCCATCACAAGTCCTTGACTTGGGCTCTAAGGGCCTTGAGGAAGAGAAACAGAGTTTGTTGCACATAGCTGCACTAGAGAATGTGCAAGGATATGAATAAATTTAAATAATAATGAGCACAAATGCTTGAATTAATAACACTGGTTGCTCACCTGACCAATCCTTCCTGCAGAATCTCAGCACCTGCCACCCTTTTCTTCTTTAAAAGACAGGCTGGAGAATCAGGTCTGCAGAGTTGGGGAGCCACTTACCAAAACAAAAACAAAAACAAAAAAAAACCCAGATACCTGTTTTCTAACTTCTTGGCCCCATGCAGATCCAAAGAGCTGCATTGCCGCTTTTAACCTGTATCATATTCTGACGGCCAGATCCCAGGAGACCCAGAAAGAGGAGAGCATTCCCCGCTCTGTGCTGTGAGAGAGAGGTTCCACTCTCAGGGCAGACACTTCCACCAACAAGCTGCCTTCCACCTCCTGATGACAAAAACATGGACATGATCCCTGACAGCTTTGGGCAGGAAAATCCTGTAGATAGAGCTGCCACAGCAAGACTGAGTAACGGGACAGGCTGTGCTTACACAGGGGCTATGGAATCCGCCCAGGAGATTTTCGTGAAAGGACAATGTGGGAACAGATTTGGAAAGAAGGGGAGAAATGGAACTGGAGAGAAGGAAGGAGTGGCTCGATTAGGATCTCAGGGCTGGGGTGTTGCTCAGGAGCAGAGTGCCCTGTGTTTGATCCCAGAGTAAGAAGTGGGGCGAAGCCTAGACACTGGCTGAAAGGGAAGTCTTGACATGAGGTGGCTGAATTGGGAAGTTGGGTTTGGAAGGAATTGGGTTAGTGGGTTGCTGCCTCTGTAGACTCAGTGAGCTGGAGGAAAAGGTGAACCAGGAGTCTAGAGGTTGAAGAGAGCTTATTTTGATTGCCTGGTGTGATCTACTGGAGCTGTGGCAACCACGATGCCTCGGATTTAACCCTTGGCTGAGCCCTCACCAGTTCCTCTCCTTCCCTGTAGCCCAGTGTAAGAGTCTAACGCCCATATTATGCTGTTCACAGTGTGCAGGCCTGCCCCACCACTGGGACCAGCCAGTGATGAAGCAAGCCTGCTGGTGGGAGCAAGAGAGAAGAAATCTGCAATCCAATTCCCTACTCCATTTAGGCTCCACAATTAAAGGCAATTACTCTGCAGTTCTCTAATCAAATGCTCCCGGCCAAGCTGCCAGCCAGGCAGCCATGTGTAGCTCCTGGAGCTAGAGGGAGAAGAGAACAAAGTCCCACACTGTCTCAACTCCCATGATGCAAGAGGCTGTGTGCATGCAGATGAATTGGTGTGTGCATCCCTGTGTTTCAGCCCTTGGGTCAAGGGTAAACACATGGAACAGAGCCAGTATGCCAAGAAGTGGGTTTAGGGCTGTTTGGCTTTGGATATATTATCACTTTGGAGTTGTCTATGCACTCATGTGGCCTGTTGTACGTGGTAAAGCCAAACATCTGTTGGCTCATACTGCATGGGAAGGAAGGGATTGTGGCATAGCAGTCACCTTTGTTATGAACGTGCTGCCCATGATCCCAGAGTCTAAGGGGAAGCATCAGATGCAGAAGAGGTTTTTTTTGTTTTTTTGTTTTTTTGTTTTTTTTAAAAAAAAAAAAAAAAAACCAGCCTTGAATCCAGATAGAAAGGGCTTGAAGTCTAACCTGAGCTCTAGTGTTCATTCAGTGGGTGGTCATTGGGTAAGTGATCGTTAAGCCCTCCAGAATCTTAGACTTGTCCCTGGGGCTCTAAAAGGGAGACTGAAGTAAAGGGAGCATGTGGCATCCTGTGGGGGAAGGCAGAATCTGTGTTGTAGGATAAGAGTCGGATCCTGCAAGAAGCCCCTTGGTGGAGCCCTCCTCATTCATCTTCTTACCCACTGCTAGCTCTCGCTTTGCCTGGGACCCAGACTCGCTTCAGCCAGGAGCCAGCTGATCAGACCGTGGTGGCTGGACAACGGGCCGTGTTGCCGTGTGTGCTCCTCAACTACTCTGGGATTGTACAATGGACCAAGGACGGCCTGGCCCTAGGCATGGGCCAAGGCCTCAAAGGTGAGTGGTGGGCTGGGACCGTACCTTTAATAGAGTGCATGCTGCCATGTGTGAGGCCTTGAGTTTGAGCCACAGCATACTAGGAAAAAGGAAGTGTATGTGTGGCTGTTCAATCACCCAGCATTCAGAAATCTGTTCCCTACTCTCAGCCTGGATTCCTGGATTTGCTACCCATCCTTTCTTCTGTTCTTGACTTCTGCTGTCTCTCACTTTTACCCTGCAACACTCACTTTCCTCAGATTGTGAATTGGCTCAAGAAAGGTAGTGTGTGGACTGGGGGACGAAGAGAAATAAACCTTTACACTGAGAGCTGTAGACAGAGTTGGGGAGACACCATGGGATACTGCAGTCAGGTCAAGCAGGAGGTGCTGGGACAGCAAAGCCCATCCCCACCCCCACCCCACATAGGTGGTACACTCAGGAACCATCTACCTTTTCTCTTATTTTATTTTTGAAATGATAATATAATTACCCCGGTTATCCCTTCCCTGTCTGCCTTTTAAGTACTTCATGCTTTTCTCTTCCCCCTACGTAGTCTATGTCTACTTAGAGACCAACCTTTTCTTTTAACATCAGCATTTCTTCTTTAATCATTCCATACACATTTGTTAAGCAATGGCTGTGTAGCTAGTGCTGAAGGAAACGTAAAGATTCAGCCAACGACAAAACCCCTAACTTCTTATATCCCAAAGCAAGCACAGAGATAAAGAGTCAACATACCTGGCTCTTTCTTTACACCTCGGCCACTCGCCCACTGAATGACTTGAGGGAAACCACTTTGCCTTGCTCTCTTTGCCTTGATTAGCTGATTTGTGAGGCGGGTTTAACAGTCACAGCCTTTCTGCCTTAAAAGTGCACCCTTGGTTTTTGCACCACACTGCGGGATGTGCTTTGTGAGGATAGCATTGTTATCTGTGAAGCACCCAGATGATGCGAGTGGGGGGGGGAGCACACGTCCTGCTCTTGTTATATTTGAGGGTGGTGAGATTATTTGCTGTGGGTCCAGGTTGAGGGAATCTGCATGGCACAATCTACAAAGGAAAGAGACGAATTTTATGAATCTATTGTTGGTGAGAGAGAAGATGAGAGATTGAGGTCAATAGATACGCAGTCAGAAGACTCCATCGCCTCTGAGGTGGGGGCAGGGTGGCAGCCGGGAGAGGGCAGTGGGAAGGAGATGGTGGGTGTGTGGGTGGGAGTTAGTGGGAGCCTGTAAGCTAGGCAGACTAGATACAGAGGCCCTCCTTGTGTTTTTGAAAGGAAGTAGAAATCTCATTTCCAGCAAACCTTGCTCATTCTCCTTCCACGGCGAGTGGGGATAAGGCTTTGTGAGCCACATCGAGGTGTCCCGTAAGTGCTAAAATGCCTGCACTTACCAGAGCCCACACACTGTCTTCTCTCCACTCTCCTGCCTGCTTGCCCATTCTTTTCTTCCTCTTCCTTTGCTGTCATCGTGAGAGACATTTACCTGCAAACAGCTACGGAGATTTCATATGCTCATCTCTCTCTCTGTTTATTCCTCACCATCCCCTCCTGCTTTATGGTCCCAACGTTATGGAGTCTGCGTCTGGTGCTTCATAGTCTCGCCTGCTAGTGGTGCCCAGGAGAGAGCAGAGTGGGGAGAGCTGGATGCGGGTTCTGCTTTGGGGGGGGATGAAGAAATGATGAGGCCTAGTTGTAGGACAGTGTGGTCCGGGCCTCAAGACTGTGTCTCACTCTGGTCTTCCCCGTTCTGTCCCTGTAGCCTGGCCACGGTACCGGGTCGTGGGCTCTGCAGATGCTGGGCAATACAACTTGGAGATCACAGATGCCGAGCTCTCCGACGACGCTTCCTATGAGTGCCAGGCCACAGAGGCTGCCCTGCGATCCCGGAGGGCCAAACTCACCGTGCTCAGTAATAACTCCAAAGCTGTTTCTCCCTTCTCTGGGTCCCTCGTCAATGCCCCAAACTTTTCCTTTCTTCCTAGTCTCACCTTTCCCCCTACTGTCTCTACTCTCTCTGGTTCTCTCAACAAATACTTCGGTGAACTTCAAAAACTAAGTGAGTGGGACTAGAAAGATAGCTCAGTGCTTAAGAGCATTTGCTATTTTTGTAGAAGATCTGGCTTCAGTACCTGGCACCCACATCTAGTGGTTCACAACTGCTAACTCTAGTTCCAGGGGAGTCTAATGCCTTCTTCTGGCTTCTGTAGCCACATGCACGTGGGTGGTACACAGACAAGAAGGCATGTTTATAAACACACTCATGGGCACACACACACACACACACACACACACACACACACACACACACGTATGTGTTGTAAATTATACTTTAAAAAAACTAAAAGCAGGTCAAGAGTCGAGGTGGCTGTGCTAATCCAGCCTTTACTGGGCATTATGGTCTCTGTAAGACTGATATCCTTTGCTCCCACCTCTGCCCAGATCACACTAAGAACCCAGAGCTCTATGTGAAATACAGCTGTGGAGAAAGGGCTCTCTGCACTGAGGATATGGTGGTGGAGACACAGCCCATACTTTTCCTGATTTACATTTCAGTCAAGTTTGTTGTTTAGGGAACTTTCCTTGTTCCTCTCCATCTCTCTGCTGCCCCTAAATCCCAGACCTTCTGCCTTTCAGCCCAGCCTGCCTGGCTGTTCCTTCCCTCAGCATGTTCCTCTCTTGTCAGATGTTCCCTGGAATGAGCCTGGGAAGGGTGGGGCTGGACCCAGGGGCCAGACTGTTTGCAGCTGGAGTGGCCTGATGGCTTGTCTTTTGAAAGCTGAGCTCCTAGCAGCAGCCCACAGGGGGACAGAGTAGATGTCACTGTGGCAAGCCTTGGGCCATCTGAATAATGAGAGGACTGTCGTCCACACAGAACAAAAGTGAAACCAGTAGCGCCCATCTTCAGGTCTTAAGCTCCCCCAACTCAGTGGCTTCTGTTGTGCTTTCTCTGGCTCAGACCCTTCTGACTGTGAGTTCCTCTTCCTTCTTTAATCTTCTCTGTCCCTTTCCCTTTCCTCTGACCTCCTCGTCTCATCTTTGCCCTCCCTCCAACACGAAGTCATTGAAGTGGGGGAGAAAGGACTGAGATAAATAGGTCTGTAACCCAAATTCCTTCCTATAAGGGGAGGGTGAGCATGGGGGACTCCTAGCAATGGAAAGACCTCTAGGCTGCTAGGAATCCAAAGCCCTGGTTTTGGGTTGTGCCTTGGTCATTTTTGTACTTTGACCCTTATCACTGGTATGGAAATACATCAGGGTACCAGCCTACTCGCCCTTCCTTCCTTCCTTTTTTCCTTCCTTCCTTCTTCCTGAAGTTTAATATTTTCTGTTAAGGATTAAATGAAGTCGTATGCACAGGTGCCTTAGTGAACAGGAGGTAAACTTCGGGGAAATGGTAGAATTTACTGTCAATTGGCTTATGGTTTACAATTGACAGTTGGCTTCAAAGACTTTGAGAAATTCTAGAGAAATGTGGGTTGGTGACAGGGGTGACAGATGGTCTTTGCCCGAGTGAAAGGGACAGAAACATGACAAGTGCAGAAAGACCAGTGGGGCGGGGGGGCGGGGTGCTTTGCTCTCTTTGTAGCAGGGACCCAATATCTCCGGGCATCTAGGGGCTCAGTCCAATAGTGTAGTGGGAAGGTACAACTGTAGCAGGCCAGGCAGACCAGGAGACCCTCCCTCCGCACGTCTATACTTCTCAAGTTTCTCCTACTTATAACCACAACCTTGCCCCTATTAACAGAATTGTAAGTACCAGGGGGCAGGCAAGAGGTGGGAGAGCCAGGATTGAGAGAGTAATTATGTGGGCAGAAGCCAGAACCCTTTCATCATAGTAAAAGTAGTACATTTTACACAATACAAGTACCCTGCACGCCTCACTCTATGTGCAGCTCCACACTGATCTCACGTAGGCTCGGTGAAGGGACTTCGTTAGGTCTCTTAGGGAGAATCAGACTCGGTGCTTTTAGGGCCTCAACCAAGACCACATGACAGTAAAGGAAGGCAGCAGGATTTGAAGGACACTGATCTAAATTCCATTCCTTCTCCATTCTGCCACTCCACACGCACAAATTGAACAGAAAGCTGTGTCAGCAACTCTAGCACACAGACCTTCATTTCTCCCATTCCAGGACAGCCCTGTCTGTCTCCAGCTCCATGGACCTCCCAAGGTCTCCCCGAGAGGGTCTCTTCTAGAAGTTTCCTCTTCTGAGAAAGAAGAAAACCAAATCCTTGCTCATTTCTGTCTATTGAATGTTAGGTGGACCTAGATGCCTATCAAAATCTTTCTGCCTTTATTCCCTCAATGGCCAGTTCAGTGAATAACCCCTAAGGGCTTGCAGTTCCACCGGCTCTGACTAGACACTACTGCTGTAACAGTTAATAGGAAGAAATGAATACAATGTCACATGCCTCTAATCCCTACACTTGGGAGGTGGAGGCAGGAGAATCATGAATTCAATGTCAGCCTAGACTGCATAGTGAGTGTCTGTCTCAAAATAGTAAATAAATAAATTAAAAAAAAAAGAACTCCTGCCCTCAGAGAACTTAGACCCTTGGCCTTGGGGAACTCAGGATCTGGCTCACCTTAATATTTAGAAGCCTGTGGCTGTGGTATAAGGAAAGGTACCTTATTTCTTAAAACCAGATGTATAGCAACTCAGTTCCCTAAGCCCGTAGCAAAGACCTGTTTTAGCCACTCATTAGTCTGTGGAGACTATTTTTAAATGCCAATGAGACTGGGACCTGCTTTTTCCAAGAAGATTGAGGCAGGGAAGGACAGTCACCAACAGTAACCACTGGGCAGACAATATTCAGAGCTGAGAACTGCCACAGGTGGACACACGGAGTTCTCCACATCACCCGGGATTTGACCAGGGTGGTAACTCCTCCACAGCTGCTCTGAGAGAGGTCATGCCCTATGGAGAAAACAGCAGTAGCAAAGTGAGGAGGTGAGGGTCTACAGGGTGTGGCTTGTGGACCCTAAAACAGGAGACTGAAGGGTTTGGAATTCATTCAACAGGCAGTTGTAGCCTCTAGAGCTGTCTGAGCAGAACAGCACAGTCTTAACTGCTATGGAGAAATAACCTGCTAAAGGTGTAATGATGGAGTTGCCCATCTGGCCATTCCCGGCAGAGGAGCAGATGGAAGGGGATAGATGGAAGGGATGCTGTGAAAGATGCCCTCCTTCCCTGGGGTGTGATCTGAGATAGCCTTCCATCGAAGTAAGTACCCTTGAGCAACAGTGGTGAGTACAGTATCAGACAATAGTAGCAACTGTGAAGGAGTAACAGGAGGGCGATCTGAGAAAGCTGTGGGCTGAGTGAAGCCTCTTCACAAGCACTGTATATAGTGATTGTAAGTTGGGCTAGGGTAGCATTGCCGGGCTGAGAGGGACGCACACAGTTGGCTGCATCCTGAGCTGATTTTGTTCTCCTCTTCCCTCCAGTTCCTCCAGAAGACACCAGGATTGATGGGGGCCCTGTGATTCTGCTGCAAGCAGGCACCCCCCACAACCTCACATGCAGGGCCTTTAATGCCAAGCCTGCCGCCACCATCATTTGGTTCAGAGATGGGACACAGCAGGAGGGGGCTGTGGCTAGCACGGTGAGAACCTCCCTGTTCCCCTGGCCTCTCTCAGACCCAGCTCCAGGATATCTTTCCTTTCCTAAAGGGAACAGACTCCAGGGTCACTATGCCATTCTATAAGTACTTCCTGTGTGCTAGGTGCTATATGAGTGGTTTCTCTTAAACCTCAGTAGAGTCCCACAAAGTAGGCATCCTGTGCAACTTACAAAGGGGGAAATTAATGGTCAGAGAAGTCGACTGCCTGACCCAAAGTCACATAGAGAGCAAGCAGCAGAGTTGCCATTCTGTACCCGAGTCTGGCTCCCCTGTTGATACCTTTGGCCCTCTCCCTTCAGCACAGCTAAGAGCTGTGGAAGCCGGGTTGTGCACATTCTCTGATGGGGAAGGCACAATAGTGACTTACCCAGAATCACACGGCAAAGCCGATGGCGGTGGAATCCAGAACTTGCACTTGAGGAACATTCTGCTCATTCTGCCAGTTGTGGCCAGCATGTGCACCTAGCCCTGTGCTGGGTACAATGACACTTCCCAGTGGGGAGAGAAACTGCCCTCTGTGTTCCTGGAGTGGGAGGATAGAGAGCTTGGGTTCTGGCTTTCCTCTTAGTGACTGACCTCTGTGGCCTTGGGCAAATCTCTCCTTCATGGCCTCAGTGCCACCATTTGATTAATGATCATTTGACCCCAACGGAGCTAATCATTTTTACCACCAAACCTCTTGTTTTCCTCCTGGGGGAGGGGCTACATCTTTTAAATTATCTTGGCAGCCAGACAAGCTGATTTGTTAATACCGGTTGTTGCCTGCTCCTCTCTTTTGCTTATTCACTTAGGAGTATGGAGCTCCAAAATATCACTGCGTTTTGCACTGATCCTGTAAAGATGTATGCATGACTGTCTGAATGAGAGCCCTTATTTTTGTCCATAGTGTGCTTCCCTCGGGTAGGTGACAATATAGGACATGGTTTGGGATGTCACTGAGCCAGTGAGTCTTTGAGTTGGTAAATCTGGCCCTGCACTTAGTGTCACCACTGTAATACGTGGTGCCTAAGGCCAAATGTAAGACATTCTAACTGTATATGGTACCAACTCAGGCGAGAGAGAGAGAGAGAGAGCCCGGAGGTCTGGGATGGCCTGGGAAGGCTTTCTAGAAGAGAAAGAAAGAACTTAACTGTGGGCTTAGGGAATTCCAGGAACAAGGTTCGGTTACACAGAGAGAAATTATACTGCAGAGAGCAAACATTTGTGTGCACCATACACTCCAGTTAGTAGTAAGATACCAGTATTGATGTGTCTGTTATAATGAGTTCTCCACACTGCTGTAAGGTATAATAATGAGGGATGCCATGGTGGAGAGGGAAACTACTTCCTGTTCGATTTTTCTGTAAATTTCGCAGAGCTTTTTAAATAGCCTACTTCTTTAACTATGAAGAAGTTGGAACGGGGAAGGAGCTGCACTACAAAAGGTCTGTCCTTCCTTCAGTTGGCTTCTCTGAGAGCAGAGGAGGGCGCTTTTTAGTCTTGACTCTATCTTCCCCTCTACCCAGGAACTGCTGAAGGATGGTAAACGGGAGACTACAATCAGCCAACTGCTCATTCACCCCACAGACCTAGACATCGGTCGTGTGTTCACCTGTCGCAGCATGAACGAGGCCATCCCCAATGGCAAGGAGACGTCCATTGAGCTCGATGTACACCGTGAGTAGGGTATTGGGTAGGGTACATGAGGTGGGACCATGTTCTATAGGCAGTTTTAGAAGCACAGAATGAGGATCCTAGCAGCCCAGGACCAATGCTTCCCCCTCGGTTCCTGGTTTGATCCCAGAGCTATAATGGTGGGTACATGGAGCATTGAGTAGAGTATCATATCTGCTTACTGAGGCTGTGAGTGTTAAAGAAGTCACGGCACAAGAGCATCTAGCATGGCTAGAGCATGCCTTCCTGGCAGATGTTTCAGATGTTTTATGCATCCCTCCTGGTCAGGGATGCTCTTAGTCTATCCCCTACCATAAGCTAAACTAAACCACAGTGGCACCTAGTGGCCATATTGGGCCATTACATCCATTGAAGACTTGGTTTCTTCAGTATCATTCTTGGCCAGAGCCCCTGGAAAGGCTGTGTAGAAAGAGTGAAGATGATAGCTGATATTTTGTAAACTTGAATTCTCATTTCACATCAAAGTGGTATGAATGCATCTGTCTCGGAGGGAAAGAGAGAAACTCAGGGCAGAAAAGACCCTGTCTTCCTCTCCCCTACTTTGCAGATCCCCCTACAGTGACTCTGTCCATTGAGCCCCAGACAGTGCAGGAGGGCGAGCGAGTCATCTTTACGTGCCAGGCCACAGCCAACCCTGAGATCTTGGGCTACAGGTGAAAGGGTTGGGGCTTGGGGTTCTATGCCAGTGATAATGGAAAGGCCCTTGAGACTGGTGTGGTGGTGGTGGTGGTGGAGTTACCGGGGAGGCCACTGTCCCTGAATGTAGTTGAGAGAGTCCCAAGTTCTGACGTCAGATCTGTGCTGCCTTATCCTCCAGGTGGGCCAAAGGGGGGTTCTTGATTGAAGATGCCCATGAGAGTCGCTATGAGACAAATGTTGATTATTCCTTCTTCACGGAGCCTGTGTCTTGTGAGGTCCACAACAAAGTGGGGAGTACCAACGTCAGCACTTTAGTGAATGTTCTCTGTGAGTAGCTAGGAGGGCAGAGGCGGGGACAGAGAGCTGGGCCTTCAAAGGGTGTGGGGGTGGGGAGCTCCCGGAACTGGAGAGATAGGAGTGAACCCGGGGAGGTAGTGAGCAAGAACAGAAGAAAAGGAAACAGATTGGCGTTGACCTTCAGGTCCTTGTGACTCTGACAAGCCACTTCTCTCTCCCTCAGTTGCGCCCCGGATTGTAGTTGACCCAAAGCCCACAACCACAGACATTGGCTCTGATGTGACCCTCACCTGTGTCTGGGTTGGGAATCCCCCTCTCACCCTCACCTGGACCAAGAAGGACTCAAACATGGTAAACCTCTCCCTGCCTGTGCTAAGTGCTGGGAGGAAGGGACACGGCCATCGAGCTGCAGTGAAGACAAGGGGAGGGCTCAGGATTGTTTTGTCCGATCCAATCTGGAACTCTCTAGGGCCTTGGAGTTTGGGGGAGAAGGGAACACTTGCAATCAGCTGTCCCCTTCCTGGACTCTCCATAGAACTAGGTGTTGGTCAGGATGAAGGGAACTTGACTGCTGTTACAATAGTCAAGGATCCAGTGCATTAATGGTGCACAGGGCGGTGGTGGAGCTGGCAAAGAAAGTTGAGGTGCACAGTTCTAAAGACCCGTCTTAGACAGTCAGAGCTAGGATTGTACAGAGGAATTTCTGAATAAACTGTCTTACCTGGCTTAGTAATAAAAGCATGGAACAGATCATCAGAAAGGACTGTGTGCTTTTACATTGGCCGTAGCCAACATCTGCCCACTCTTGTACAAATGGTGCTCTTATTGCCAGCCTGCTTAGAGTCAGGGGATAGATGAACCAGACTCAGGAACCCATTTACCTTCTGGGAATTCACTTGTGACCCTTCGTGCTTTCTTTCCCATGCCTCTGATGCCGGGCCCTCACCGACCTAGGGGCCCAGGCGTCCTGGCTCCCCACCCGAGGCTAATCTCTCTGCCCAGGTCCTGAGTAACAGCAATCAGCTGTTGCTGAAGTCAGTGACCCAGGCAGATGCTGGCACCTATACCTGTCGGGCCATTGTGCCCAGAATCGGAGTGGCTGAGCGAGAGGTACCACTTTATGTAAATGGTGAGTGCCTTAGGTGGGTGAGACGGGGCGGGGGGTGGGGGGGACCAAGCACTGAAACTCCTGCCTGGCCTGACTGTGTCTTCCTGCTTGTAGGACCCCCTATTATCTCAAGCGAGGCAGTGCAGTTTGCTGTGAGAGGTGACGGTGGCAAGGTGGAGTGCTTCATCGGGAGTACCCCACCTCCAGATCGGATTGTGAGTGTTGCTCAGGCTTAACAAGCAGCCCTGTGTCTCACCCGTCCAGTTCCTCCTTGCCTCTTTTGGCTTGTATCTTCCATCTCCCCAACCTTTTCTGGTCTTGCAATCCTCTAACTTTTTAGTTTCTGTATCATTTTACCTGTTCACATTCTACCTCCTCCCTTACTTGTGTGGCCCTGAACTAGTGCTTTGGACCTCAGTTCCTCATCCTCCAAGGGGTGGCCACACCCCTATGTATGAGTCATTCCAGCAGCAGTTGTAAAAGGACCGAGCTCCTTGGAGTCAGGGGACAGTAGGTTCCCTCTCGTTCCTGGTGAAGGTCCTTTCTCTCTATCCCCCCTTCCTATCCCCTCCCATCGCTTCTCCCTCCCACCTGTCCTACTCTTTTCTCTTCTTTCCTGTCTGCCTTCCACCAGTCCCTGACCACTCCTCGTTCTTTTCTTCACTCCCCTGTACCATAAACAATTAATTCCTCCTGTGGCCACTAACCATCAAAACCCTCATCACATTTAATGACCATTTGGCTAACTCCAGGGCTGCCCAGGGATACTTCATTACCACAGCTGCCTAGGCAGAAGACGGTTTGGCTCCCAGGAGGTTTGCCTCATAGAGCTGGGAGGACTGATCCCTGGAAAGGAGCCAACATTCAGCTACTCCTCTTCCTTAGCCACAAGCACACACAGTTGGGATTGCCTCGGCTGGGGCGGTCAGGGATGGAAGGCCTGGGGGACACTCCTCTTGACTCCCTGCTCATAATTAAGAGCAGGCAGATGTATCTCCAGAGAGCCAGGCAGGTATCTGTGGGTTGATTAATGGTAAGGCTGCTAAGATAGACTCGTGCGCAGTTAGACTCACAGGGCTGAGCACTGCCCTATACTGGCCAGTATCCGCTACTTCAGAGGCGAAGAAAATGAGGCCTAGGCAGGGCAAGCATGGCCACATAGCTGCTCTGGAGTGGGAGGTAAATGAACTAAAGTCCCTGCAACACCCAAGATCCAAATACTGGCTCACTAGCTCAGCTGCCTCCACATCACGAAATGCCACACAGCGTCAGACTTACAGCATGGGACCGCTGTAGAGGCAGGTTCCCGGATCTCTCCCCCACGTTCACACTTGGTACCTAAGTCTCAAGGTAGTAGTTTTTAAAGTCTTCTCTAGAGAAATCTCATGTCTATTGTGTGGGAGCCACAGCCTCTGGAGTTGGAGCAGAAGATCAGTGTCAAGGATTTGTGGCAGTTGGTGTGACACAGGTTGTCCGGGGCGAAGGTTTGTTGGGCCTGGGGACAACAAATGTGCTACCTAAGAGTGGAGTAAAGTGTCTTAGGGCCATGTGCTTCCTCTACGTGCCCTTTTCTTACGTCCTTCCTGCCTTCCCCACCCCAGGCGTGGGCATGGAAGGAGAACTTCCTAGAGGTGGGGACCCTGGAACGATACACCGTGGAGAGGACTAACTCAGGAAGTGGCGTGCTGTCCACACTCACCATCAACAACGTCATGGAAGCTGACTTTCAGACCCACTACAACTGCACCGCCTGGAACAGCTTCGGGCCAGGCACTGCCATCATCCAGCTTGAAGAGCGAGGTCAGCCATAGGGACTACTCCGCAAGTTTTACCTTGTCTTTCAAAGCAAGATAACTCTCTCTCTCTCTCTCTGGCCTCTCTGCCAGAAGTGGACTTCAGTGCTCGGCTAATTAATCTACTACATAAATGTTCCTGAGCATCTTTACGTGTCAACTCTGAAGAAAGGGTTGCAGGTGTGAACACAGAGTCATCTCTGCCCACAAGAAACTTTCGCCTTAGCGGAGGAACTTAGATAGTAGAAACAAATTAATCCAGACGGGGAAGAACTTAATGCTATGTGTGACAGATTAACACTGCCTATGTCGCTGAGTTATTGAGAGGGTTGAATGGGGAATATTTGTAAAATTCAAAGGTTCTCCTACCCTCTCAAGTAGCCTTGGTTTTATAGAAGGGATATATTCTCTCCAGGTACCTTTGGCAAGATGAAGAAAACATCTAGACTTTGACAGAGATGTTTGGTGAAGGAAAAATAATGTTTGTTTTTGAGAACTAGTCATTGAAAAGGGAGATAGGGAGAACCTGAGAGACCCTTGGGAAATGTCTGGGAAAGCCAATAATAGTTCAGGTGTAGTTAAAGATACCTGTAGGGTGGGTATGAGAAACAGAAGAGTAATGTGGGAAAGATCTTAGAGGAGCAGATCCATAGCCAGAGTCTGGATCCAACTACTAATTTCAGAAAGAGAGAGAAGGACAAAGGGAGAATTCTTGGGCTCATTATCAGCTAAGGGAAGCAGGGGCCCTACAGAGGACCACTGACGCTACAAGTAGGCAGCGCAGATGGAGCAGTTTTGCAGGCAAGAAATGGCGTTGAGAAGGTTGAAACAGATGTGGCAGATTGGAATTTGGGGAGAACTGACTTCAGACAAAAGCGCAGCTCAGGAAGGAGGGACCAAGCTTCATGGGTAGGTGGGCCAAAAAGAGGGGGATTAAAAACTCTGAGACAAACTGATGGCAGAGATGGAACACTGCCCTGACATCAACCCTGGTCAAAGGAAAGCACAGATCTCAATCCAAGCTCAGCCCAGATCTTCTCCAGTGTGGCCTGGAGTTAGATATCAACACGGCCCAGCTCAGGCAAAACTTAGCTTCATGCGTAATCTAGAGTTGCCACTGTGTGAGGCCAAGTCTTCAGGTCCCCGTATGGCTCCATCTTCACTCCTTCTCTCCCTCCCTCTGTTTGTAGAAGTGTTACCTGTGGGCATCATTGCTGGGGCCACCATTGGTGCAGGCATCCTGGTCATCTTCTTCTTTGTTGCCTTAGTTTTCTTCCTCTACCGACGCCGCAAAGGCAGTGAGTACAGGCACTGTGCAGCCATAACAAACGCTTCATCCCCAACCTTACCCTTCAGGGTCACATCAAGGGGTGGGGGCTGGAAGCCAATGCTGTAGAGACCAACCACACCTCCCTGCCCTAGGTCGAAAGGATGTGACCTTGAGAAAGCTGGACATCAAGGTAGAAACAGTGAATCGGGAGCCACTCACAATGCATTCTGACCGGGAGGATGATACCGCCAGCATATCCACGGCAACTCGGGTCATGAAGGCCATCTACTCAGTGAGGATCACGCTTCTCACTGGCCTAGGCTCTTCATAGTCCCAAGGCCAGCTCCTGCAGTTTTTAATATCTTCTGTCACCCCTTCTTCTTCAGCGAGTTTAACCTGTTCCTGTCACCCCAAGTCCTATGTACCAACTTGCTCACCAGTAGTCACACTTGTCACACACATGTGCAAAGCTGCTCTCTCCTCCCCTCCAACTCCCTTTGCCTCATCCTTCCCTCACTTAGAGGGAAATCTGTAGATAGTTTTGGTTCAGCCTCCTCGTAACTGAGATGTGCTCCCCGACAGTAGCAATGGTGTACTCAAGATATCATATTACATGTTAGCAACAAAATTAATGCTAGAAGCCCGGCCTCAGGTACCTCAACCTATACATGAGACACAAATCTGCCCTAACCCAGAGCTTCCTTTAGCAGATGGCCTCTGGGCATGGAATTGGTAAAGGCGGGGAGGGGGTAAAAGCAATGTCTGTCCCCTGACACCCGCTCCTGTTCTTTAGTCCTTTAAGGATGATGTGGATCTGAAGCAGGACTTGCGCTGTGACACCATTGACACCCGGGAAGAGTATGAGATGAAGGTGGGAAACGGGACTGAAGCAAGGCACACCAGAAATGGGATAGGAGGGTGTGCGAGGCGGGGGAGGGGGTGAGGACAGCCAGGGAGGAGTGGTCAAGAGGTCTGCAGGAGGAACAGAAGATAGAGTGGTGCTGGGTGAGAAGAGCAGAAGAGCATGGGTTGGGGTGGGCATGGGCGGAAGAGCCTTTGAAATCTTATTACACTGGAGGAGACGCCCACTTTTATCCTCTTCTCTCACTGCCGCCCACCCCCAGGATCCCACCAACGGTTATTACAATGTGCGTGCCCACGAAGATCGCCCGTCCTCCAGGGCGGTGCTATATGCTGACTACCGTGCCCCTGGCCCGACACGTTTTGATGGCCGTACGTCATCCCGCCTCTCCCACTCCAGCGGCTATGCCCAGCTCAATACATACAGCCGGGCCCCTGCCTCTGACTATGGCACAGAGCCCCCACCCTCTGGCCCTTCTGCTCCTGGTGGCACCGATACAACCAGCCAGCTGTCCTACGAGAACTATGAGAAGTTCAACTCCCACCCCTTCCCTGGGGCAGCCGGGTATCCTACGTACCGTCTAGGCTATCCCCAGGCCCCACCCTCTGGCCTGGAGAGGACCCCCTATGAGGCCTATGACCCTATTGGCAAGTATGCCACGGCCACTCGATTCTCCTACACCTCGCAGCACTCAGACTACGGCCAGCGATTTCAGCAGCGCATGCAGACTCACGTGTAGAGGCTGGAGTCTGGCTGGGGTATCTCTGCGGGGCAGAGGAGAAGGCTTCCCAGCTCTTCCCTGACATTCAGGGACATTGCTCATTGCTCGTTTCTTGGACCCAGCCTTCCTCCTCCTGCCATCACAAATAAGGAGCAGGTCTCCCAGTAACACCCCATCCCAAGGATGGTGCTCTGGGCATGCCCCAGTCTCCTAGGCCTGCTGAGCTCTTCTCCAGGAGGATGTCTCTACTGACCTTTGTCCATTCCTGACCCAAGCTTGGGCAAGGAAGTGGAGGCGGTGGTGTGGGGAGGATGGAGAGGAGAGGGGGAGAAAGGAGAGAAGAGCACATTTTATCATTTCCTTTCCGTCCTGCTCCTCTGATCTATACGTGGGCGTGGAGATACGCTGAGGTGGGCGAGCTTTGGCCTAGGTGGTTCTAGTCCAGGCAGCTGGGATGCGGGACAGCCCACCAGTCCCTCTCTTGATTTCTTTCATACTTACATTTATCCTTCCCATCTCAGGGGATTACAGATGGGACAATGAGTTCAAATCCAGCCCTCTGTCGGTTGGGGTCAAAATGCCAGTCACCGTGGCTACTATCTGTGGCTATCTTAGTACAGAGGGCTCCAGAAATCCCCAGTAGCACTGTTCCCTTTCTACTCAACTTTGTGCTGGACCTGCCAGATGTGTCCTGGATGTGAACAAAGAATGGTCAGGACCATGTCCTGGTTGACTAGCAAGGGACCACTGTGTACTGACTGCATGGCAGTCCCCAGATCCAACAGTAGTGGGAGCCACACAAGCTTTCTTCTTTCATGTCATCTGCCCTACTTTTTGGTCTTAACTCTTGAGCCTTGGAGAATAGGGTAGGGCAGAGGTGTCATGGAGCTATTTTTTTTCCCAAAGGCAATAAAAACCTCATTTGGAAGGAAAAGCTGTAGGGGTTTCCCCACCATATGCCAGTCTTTGTGGAAAGGAAAGGGGTACCTGTCCTCCACCAGGCTCCTAACACCTTGCATTATTCTAAGTCTCCAAGCACTTTGAATCTATTATGTACATCCCAATGATGAGACTGCCTACTGCTGGATTCTGATAGAGTTAAGCAGTACTGAACCCCAGACGCTACTGTCCTACTCCAGGACTCAACCTAGTTAGAACTCACCTTGCAGGTGGCACGGTAAATGCTTTATCCAGGCAAATTTTGGGTTTGTCTCCTCTTTACCCCACCCCCAGGCCAATCATATTTCTTCTTCCATTTTCAGTGCCTTGAGTGTCAGGTTTGTGATGCTGTCCCTGTGTGGGGAGCAGCAACTTGTGAGCTTTAGATTGTCCTGTGTTAGCATCTAAGAAGAGACAAATGAGGGGACATGAAGGGAAGGGGGTCTGGAAATGGCACTACAGGAAACTTTTTACTGATCTAGATGGAGCCCCCAGTGCAGAAGAACACTGCAGGCATTGTAGTCCATAACCCATGCAGTCTCTTCCCATGCAACATGCACGTGACCACACACACACACACACACACACACACACACACACACACCACACATTCCATACCACTTCTCATCTGACCAAAGAGATTCTGTAAGTCCTGTTTCAGCCTCACATTCCCAAGAAACTTCTGCCCATCTGGAGTCTACTGCCATTCTGTAGCCAACTGTCCACCTCCCACTGAGGCCTACATGATGGGAGGCAGTATTCCCAGAATACTCCTTGCCTTTTCTCATTGGTCACCATTCATTAATCATGTTTATTTTCATGAGTTACATGTGCATCAACCACAGTCCATCACTAACCTTACAGATGGGCCTGTGGGGTGATACTCTTAGCTATCTCCTTTCTGATAAGGACTGGGTAATACCCAGGGATCAAGGAGGTCCATTCCCAGCCTGCCAGACAGCCGCTGCTCGTAGCTGTATTCCAGTTCAGAGGGCTCACAGAGCCCTTTCCTGAGATCTCAATGAGGCAATGTCTTTACAGTGTAGGTTCTTGTGAATATGAATTCATGCAAGTTTTAATTTTCATTCACACCTGAAGCCATGGGTGATCCAAACACTTTAAAATCTAAATAGAGTGGCATTTCAAACAGCAATACTCCCTAAAATAATCATCTTATTTGGGGGTTGGCTTGATTCTCTTATTTCTCTCTGATTTAAGCAGTAGATCCCTCCCATGGAAACAAGAGCATCGCTAAGGTCAAGCCCTGTAGGAAATTTGTGGGTATCAAGCACCATGCACAGGAAACACCACTGGGACAGACTTGTCTCCTACCACTCAGATTCTGCAGTCAGAATCAGAGTTAGGCCTTGCAGAATGACCAGTGGAATTGTGTGTCTGGGGAGTTGAAGGCCCCCTAATCACAGAGCTCTTCCATCTGAAGCTAGTTTGTACCAGCATGTTGGTGCCCTGTTACTTGATGATTCTTAGTTGAAAGATTAAGGAACCAGGAGTCAAGAGACCCTGACCCATTCTGCAGCTTCCATTTGCTGAGTAACCATGATCTGACCTCTGTTTTCATTGCCTCCAATTTTCTGGTCTTTACCTACAACTCTTCTGTGTTGGCTGTGTTCATCTGGGGAGGCAGAATTTGGGATTGCCCATCCATCCAAAGAACTCAAGAACAGTAAAGCAGTCAAGGTGAGGGTTAGAGCAGGAGAGGCCTACCTATCCCATAAACTTCTTGATCTTGCCTGTCACCCTAACCCTGAGTGAAATGAAGCAATCTGTGCTTCTCTCCTCTTAGGTTCAACAGGTTGCTGTGATCATGGTAGGGCTCAGTTTCCTTTAGTGTGGCTGCAGACTGCAGCATGAGGACTGGGTGAAATGGGGAAGCTGCCTTTTACTTGGTCTTCGGGAACAGTCATCTGGCCCAAAGGCTCCCTGTTTACCAAGCAAGGTGAATCCTATGGTCCCAGCAGTCTTGAGCCAGAAGACAAGAGTGAGAGCAGCTAACCCTTGCTGTAGGTTGGAAGGGAAACTGGTAGAGGAAGAAGAGTTAGTGGTTTTAACCTAAACTCTGCATATGGCCGTTGTGGCTCTGGATGGGCCTCAGTCTGTAGAGAGCCCATCCTGATGCCGAGTCCTGGTCCCCCAAAGTCTAACCACAGAATATGCATGAAGCAAAACCTATTGAGAGGATGGAAAGTAACAAGGAATGAAAGCAAATGTCTGGATCAGAATGAAAAAGATGAGCTCCGCTCGAATGATTCTGGGTGATACACTTTCCTCATGTTGACAGCTGCTTTCCTTGCTATGTTGACAGGAACTTCTCCTGCCCTGTGGGATGGAGCACACTGACCCGTGTCTTGCCCCCTTGTGCTCTGTTAACATGTGGGTGCTCTGTCAGGAGCCATAGCTCTTGGGCTCCTTAAGATGGAATTGGGTGGCACTGTACACTTGGCCCACTACATAGGCAACTGTGATTTACAGAAACTCATGTTAAAGCCAACGACCCTGTTTGGACATGTGGAGTCTCCTGGCTCAATCACTGCCTCATCCTGTTGTATGAGCAATTCTGTCTCTTTGGGTGAATTACATGACCTCCCAAAGCTACTGCAGGCTCAAAAAACCTGGTTTCCCTACTATTTCATTTCTGTGGAATCTGAGCCCAGGTATACTTTATACCTACAGAACCTGGTGAATAGCTGATAATAGAACACTGAGGTAACACAGACCTCAAGACTCCATTGGTGAGGCATTGACGGTTGTGAAAGGATTGTAAAACTGTCACCTAAACCTAACATTCCTGTCTCCCCAAGCCCTTCCCACCTCCCATGCTATTTTTCCCTCTCCTAAAGGCAGTGTTCTCTGGCCAGTGCTGACTAACCTTTGACAGCTTGCCTTTAACACCACCCTTGGGCCTGTGGAGAGGAATGAGGTGTGTGGCGTGGCAGAGTACGGATTTGAGAGGAGGGTGCAGCCTTGAGATTTCCTGCATCACTGTGGGGGAACCCCAGGGCCCTTTCCCAGAGGAAAAGAATTGTTGCACAGAAGACAGAGGCCATACCAGGAACTTCTGGTGCAAACATACCCTTAACAACAGTAATAATTTTGTGTGCATAGAACATCACTGACCAGTCTCAGTACCCCATCTTAGCTGTTTGCTGCTCCCAACCACTGGCCTTTGCAAATTGGTGGCCTGGTTCTTCTCTTGGCTTCAGGAGCTGTTGGTAGCCCCTGGGAACACCAGCATTCTGAAGAGAGAACATTCAACTTGCTGATAGAACGAAAGTAGGCTCCTTAGCAAAAGTTACCCACAAGGCCATGCTGCCTTCTCTTTTAACAGGGCACCCAGGGCTCTTGGGATCAAACTGTCTACCCCAGCCATTCCTGGGATTGCAATCCCCATTTCTGATGCCAGTCGAATTTTCTCTACCAAAATTCTCATCATAAATGGATCCATGATGACAACTAAGAGGAAAAAAAGTATTTTTGTTAGGACAAACCATCATAGATTTTTAGCAATGTGTATCTGTGTGTCCTTTACACCTTTTCCTATTCTGACATTTTTTTCCTTTTTTTTTTTTAAAAAAAAATATTGTGTACTATATTTTTAGCCTCAAACACACTATATATTATATATTTAATTTTATATATATAAATATAAATGTTTTAAAAAGCACCATGTTTTGTGTTATTTAATATATGAACAATTAGTTACTTTAAAAGCCTGCTCAGTTTTGTGTGAAATGGTCCGGGTTTGGGGGGGAAAGTTGAAGACTGAGATTGCAAAAATTATATATTTTCACTTCAAGACCACGTGATAGACATTTTATTCACCAGTTTTCAAGCATTTGAGAAGCCAGGGGCCAATTCTGGCAGCTCTAGGACAAAAGTCTCTATGCTTTTGTGGCCCCCGAATGCTCAGTGCCTGACTTGATTGTGAGGATGAAGAAACAGGAACCTCTGCATCAGCAGCCCCATTCCCACAGGGTCTGGGAGGCAGCAGGTTCACCTGGGTTGTTCTGTATATGCAAATGCTGTCTGCAGGTTTGAGCTGGTAATGTAAGAGTGCAGAAGCCAATGTTGCAGCAGCAGCACACGCTAGCTACCTAATGGACTGGGGTTCACACTGCTGACCTCACAAGAATGTTTCAGGATCGACAGAACTGGAGATAGTATGACTCTGAGGCTGTAAATCACGAGAGAAATGCAAGTGTGTTGTCCTTGTCTGGTTAATGACCAAGGAAATGCAAGACTGTTCCTGGGAGCCTTTTACATACAAGGAATGCAGAACACAGCTAGAAACAGAATGTGAGAGGTGAAAAGAAAGAACGCAGAATGAAAGACTGGGGATATAGCTCAGTTGGTAGAGCTCAAGTCCTGCATGCATCAGGTGTCAGGCCTTGGAGGTAGGGGCGTGGGGGAGCAGGTGCAAGCCATTGCTAAAGGTTATAGATTACAGCTCAGAAAATTTATCCAGTACAGTGCAGCTGCCACAGGGGCTGGAGTTTGGAGAAATGAGGACCAGTTGCAGGGTGAATCTAGAGGTCACAGGTAAGTTGAACCAACACAGTTTGGATGGGTTTGTTTATATGTTTGTTTGTTTGTTTTTAAAAGATTTTATTTATTTATTATGTATACAACATTCTGCTTCCATGTATATCTGCACATCAGAGGAGGGCACCAGATCTCATAATGGATGGTTGTGAGCCACCATGTGGTTGCTGGGAATTGAACTCGGGTCCTCTGGAAGAGCAGTCAGTACTCTTAACCTCTGAGCCATCTCTCCAGCCCATGTTTGTTTGTTTTTAAAGAAGCAGCAGCCACATTGATTGGATCAAGAAACAAAAAGAAAAGGGTAGTGTGTGGTGGTATCTTTCTTGCACAAATAAAGCCTGTCTGGTTGTCAGAGAATGGAGTTTGTCACTAGCTAACCTTAGAGGTCTGTAGGTCTGTACAGACAGGCAGGAAGTGACGTAGCTGGGCAATAACAGTATATAAGCAAGGACAAACAGGAAATCTCTCTCTTCTCTGTGGAGATGCTTAGGATTTTAGGTGACTCCAGCTTTTTGTTATCTAGATCAGTTCGGGACTCCTTTTGCGTGCTGAGCCTGGCTTACTCAGTCGGTAGAGCTTGGGACTCTTAATCACAGGGTCGTGGGGTCGAGCCCTACGTTGGGTGCACCACACCTGATCCACAATAATTAGTATCCCATCACCCCAGTACAGTGGAGTTGATCAGTGTGCTGGAGGAATGCATGCACAGAGAAGAAAGAACAAAGTGTCAAAGAGTCAGACCACTAACCTTTGTTTCCCACGCCCCACCTTTCCTTGTTTGCTGTGTAAGGGTGGTTTGTTGATTTGTTTGTTTCATTTTAAGACAGGATCTCACTATGTAGTCCTGACTGGTCTTTTCCTCCCAAGTGCAGACATGCCAGCCCTTGTCCTGTTTTTGATGATCTTGTGACGCTAAATCAGGAACTGATGTCTTATAAGAAAAAGAACATCCAAGCACCTATTTTCAGTTCCAGGTGGTGAACTTTGCAGTGGTTTCTGTCTGGGCCCCTGAGTGACTGTGTAATACAGAGTCCCTTTGCCAATTCATGATAAAACATGGGAGTTGAGGGAGAAATTAATCTTCATTTTGCTAAGATATTGAATTGGAAGTTGTCTGGAGATCAAATCAAAGGCGTTGTATGTGCTGAACAGAGCTCTACCTCCAAATAGTCCCTGCTTCTGAGATGCTGATGTTGTGTGGTTATTCCTCCCTGTAAGCTAGTATATCCTATCCTCACTAAGATGGTGTTGAAATTCTGCCTTCCACTGTCTGTTTCTCAGGAAAATTACATCTCTGTATATATCTCCTCTGTGAAATAGATTGCTTACATCTCCATTCTACTTGGACCAGGATTGATTGCTGTAATCTGAAACCCCAGTTCATGCTAAATCTTTTCAGACTATAGGGAGGTGTAATAGGCACCTGCCCACCACCCTTTGCTCCTGTTTTAGAGACATTGGGAAAAGTACCAGCAATTGCCCAGAGGTTCAAAGAGAAGTGTGAACTCCAGAATGAGGACCAGGGTAAAAGCTAGGCTTTGCTGCGAGTCACTGGGCGATACATGACAGGCCCCAGCTTTCTGAGCAACCTTATCCAGAAAAGGCTGTGAGCAGCCAGTGGGATGAGAGATACAAAAGCCTTTTGTAAATGGCAGGATGCTATCCAAATGTGAGTTGTCTGGGGCCGGTAATGCCAGAGCATTAGAGCATTCCATCCTGGTAGCATCATCCCAAACCACACAGCCCACTGCCTGGTGCAAACGCTCCTCCAGCCATGACCTGATAGTAGCATGTGCTTGTTCAGCTGGGCTTAATAGGTCCTGCCTTGCCAGGCCCCAGGGTTCTAAATTCAAAGGATCAATCAGTTCTCTGCAAAGAAAGCACCTGGGGGAAGAAAAAAAAAATCAGTTCATTAGTACTCACTTTCCCATTTCCTTTACTCATTGTAATTAGCTACACAGAGGTAACCTCCTGAGGAGAACAGAACCTGCCCAAGCCAGAGCCAGGCTGGGAGCTTTGTCTTGTCCTCCCATGCACAAGTCATGTTCTCCTGGTGCTCTCTGGGCAGGCTCAGCCTGGTTACAGCCCCTTTTCTTTTCTTTCTTTTTTTTTTTTTTTTTTGGGTTTTTTAAGACAGGGTTTCTCTGTGTAGCTTTGGAGCCTATCCTGGCACTCGCTCTGGAGACCAGGCTGGCCTTGAACTCACAGAGATCCGCCTGCCTCTGCCTCCCGAGTGCTGGGATTAAAGGCGTGCGCCACCAAGGCCTGGCTGCGGCCCCTTTTCAAATAGCATCCTGGTCACCGTTCCTAGCAGAAGCTGGCTTCTCAGAATTATGCTAGAGGCTGAGGGTTTGCCCAAACCTGACTTTTCTCAGAGTCCCCATGATCCCCTCATCAATAGATACTTAGCAATGGAACACAGAACCTCAAAACTGGAGGCACCTCTGGAGCCATCTGATGCAATTAAGCAAAAGCCCCTCAGCCTCAGAGAAGACACATGGGCTCAGCATCAGGACCTTCGGGGCCATGATGTGGCTTTGCATAAAGTACGGAATCTGAATGTTTGGGTTCTTCTCATTTCCCCGGGATTTGGGGAAATCTTTTGGCCTTTCTCAGTCTTGGTTTCCTCTTTAATAAAACCATTATTTCACTCATGCTACAAATATTTATTTCCTGTTTACCATATGCTAGTCCCAATTTCAGACCCTTGGGATAACACCAGGAACAAAATGCAGACCCTGCTTTCATAGAACGGTGCTGAAATAGAGGAGGAACAGACAATAAATAAATGACTACAGAGGTAGGAAGGAGAGTGGTCTGTTTTATGCTGCTTTGGTCAGAAAAGGCCTCTATGGTCTTTTACAAGCAAGGTAAGCTGGGCATTCACCTAGAGGAAAGATGAGTCCAGACAAAGGGGCTACCTAGCAGTTGCAAAGAGCCTGAGGCAGGAATGAGTATAGAAGACTCAGAAAGGAGGAGTATGAGAAAAGTGGTCAGACAGCCTGGTAGAACAGAGACGCAGAAAAGATCATGTGGGGTTTGAAAATTATTCTGAGGTGGAAAGATATAACAAATTGTTATTGTGGACAAAATCCAGGTTGGACATTTCCAGACTCTCAGTATCTTAAAATGATACTGTTAAAATGAAATAAAGAGTTAAAAATGAAATAAAGGTATACAGAGATGACAAAATAATAAGGAAACTCTATTCTAAGTGAAGCATGGTAAAGATTAGAAAAGAATAAGCAGCTAAGGCTAACAGGGCCATTGGTTGGCTGTGCAGGTCTAATGCCTACATCTGAAGATCACTAATGCTGAAGCATTCTCAGATCAGGAGAACACCACTGTATCTGGAGTCTGTGATCCTGGTGTCTTCTAGGGATGTCGGGACAGTGCCAAACAAACTAGATTTTCAGAAGACTACAAGTTCAAATGTTATGAACCATTTGTTTTTACTTAAAACACATGACTCTTGGGGTGATGGT